TTCCCACACCGTTGCAGCCGACACATCCTCTGTTTCATTCTCATCAAAAAAAAATTCAATTTCTCTCTCAATCCTTTGACCAATCTCTTCCTCCATGAGAAGTGCCTCATTCAACCGCCATACATAACCTTCTCTCCCTTCTCTATCCCATCTTAACTTCATAGCAACTGGGGCATGATCCGACAGGGTGCTTCCTTCAATTTTCACTTCTACCACCCACTCTATCACTCGATGTTCTACTAATATGTAATCTAGTCTAGAATAAGTCTCATGAACGTGCGAAAAGAAAGTATAATCTCTCTCCTTCATATTCCTAATTCTCCAGATGTCCACCAACTGACACTCATGCATCAATTTCTTTAACATTCTCAAGGATTTGTTTTCCTCCCTCCTCACAGAGAGGAAGTGGTATCTATCCGTGGGTCCATGCAGATGTTAAAGTCTCCCGCTACTATCATACACCCACTTTTAAAATCCATCAATCTCTTCAGCACTTCTCTCATAAACCTCTCTGGTCTCTTATTTGGGCTGTATATATTTGCTATTGTACACTCAATTCCCTGTAGTTTACCTCTCAAAAATAAAAACCTCCCCTCCGGATCCGTTAATCTCTCCTCCACCTCGAACCTTATATTCTTTGCGAACCCTATAGCAACTCCTTTTGCTCTTTTAGTTGGTGAATCCGCATAGAACCATGTTGGAAAATGTCTAGTCTTCAGTCTAACCTTTGACTCTATCTCTAGATGTGTTTCCTGCAAGAATACCACTGAGGATTTTCTATGTTGAAGTTCTTTAAATAACCTGAATCTCTTTCCTGGGCAGCTTAACCCTTTTACATTATAGGTTATATATTGGATTTCTTCCATCTTACTCTTTTCCTACCGTCTCCCTCTTCCTCCTTCCCTTCCTCTTTCTTATTGCTATAGAGCGTTTTTATCCCTCTACCCTTTTCTCTCTCCCTCTCCCCTCCCCCCCTCTCCCAATACTCCCCCCATTCCCTTTCCTCTCCCCCCCCCCCCCCTCCCCACCCACACCACCTCTCCCCCCCCTCCCTCCCCCCTCTTTTTAGGCCTTTACTTTGCCTAACCATCATTTGTGGAAGTAGCATCCACCTTTGACTTAAACCTTAGGGCTTCACTCTTCCCATGGACAGCCTCCCCTCCATCCAGATCCCCCCCTTGACCCCCTCTCTACTCATCTTTCTATAGGAGGAAAAAGGAGTCAAGCTGGAGGGACAAGGGGGGGAAAAAAAAAAAAAAGGAGGCGATGAAATGGGAGCAAGGAGAGAGAAAGAAAACAAAAACAAAAAAAAAAAAAAACACACACACCTTCTCTCCCCTTCACTCTCCTTCCCCGCCCCTCCCCCTCTCCCTCATCCGTCTCCACCCCTCCCCTCTTTTCTGCTCTTTCTTCCCCAGATTCTTCTTCCCAACCCTTTATTTCAATTTTCTGCATTTCATGTCTATTGCAAAAATTTCTCAAGTCCTCTGGGAACCTCAAATGGGCTGTTATTCCATTTTTCCCATCCTATTAAACACTCCGGAACTCCCCATCTATATTGCACCTTCTGTTGTTTCATCTGCTCCAGCAAAGGCCTCAGAGCTCTCCTCCTCCGGAGAGTCTCTGATGACAAGTCCGCATATATTTGAATATCCATTTCTCCATACTTTATTACTGGTTTTCCCTTAGTGTTCCTCCAGATTTTTTCCCTTTGTTGTAATTCATAAAATTTTACAAGTATGTCTCTCGGCCTGTCTTTCTCATGATTCCCCTGGAGTTTCCAGTTTCTAGAGATTCCTTCTATATTAGTCCTTTCGATTTCAGAGTTTCCCATTATAAAGTTCAGTATTTTGCAAACCATCTCTTCTAGTATTTCTCCTTTTAAACTTTCCGGTACCCCTCTTATCCTTATATTTCTCCTTCTTTCTCTATTTTCTTGAATTTCCACCTTGTACTGCAATTTTTCCTGAGCTTTTTCCATATTAATTATCTTCTTCTCTAATTCGGAAATAATCTGGGTCTGGCTTTTAACTTTCTGCTCCGTTTCTTCCACTCTTAACAACAACTGCCCCAGATCATTCTGAATTTTTACCATTTCTTGCTTTATTGTTCTCTCCAGATCTTTGAACATTTCTGTCATCTCTCTTTTATTTGGGATTTGTAGTTCTTTTTCTGTCTCTGATATTTGTTGATTACTGATATCCAATTCCATTGACTGTTTAGGACTATTTTGCATACTTAAATCAGACTCTCCTTTATTTTCTCTGCTCTGGGGCCTTTCTGGGGTCACATTTCCCTGGGATGCGTACTTTTTAATTGTCCCCGTTTGTGTCCCTTTAGGCCCGGTTCCCTTTGCACTTTTATTTTTCATTTCTTCTGTAACCTTTATTTTCTCTTATAAACTTATACTTTGCAAAACGAAGAAATTAATAAGGTGTAGAAATAGAATTCCCAGCTTTGTCTTCCCACCTTTCTGTATGCCTTTGCCTGCACCTTGCGTTCTTCTCCTTATTTTTTATTCTTATTCTCTGGGGGTCCCCCCCTTTTCTTTCTCTCCCTGCTTTCCTCCAACTCTATACAATTTTTGTGTTTGGGGCCACCGCCAGACTCACTCACCCCTCCAACTCGTGAGACGGCTCCAGGCTCCTTCCTCCAATTCTTTTCAGCAGGTCCGCTCTCTTCCTCTCTGGGGGACCCTCCAGGACTTTCCTCCATGCTCTTCTTCTTTGTCTTTGTTGGGGAGGCTCACCATCGACCGCCTGTTAGGGCTCCCTGGATTGCAGGTCATCCGGCAGAGCAGAATCTCTCCTGCTCCCTGTCAGCCTCCGGCCGGGCGGCCAGCTTTCTTGCCTCCCAGAGGTGCACTGCGGCCGGTCACATGTCCCGGCCGCGCCTCCCTGTCACCCGGCAACCAGGCTCGGCGTCCAGGCTCAGCGTCCCTGCCACACTCCGCTGGTCTCCGCTCTCAACTCCGGGGAGCCGCTCAGCCAGAGGAACCCGCCCGGTCGAGGTAGGTCTCTACCCTCTAGAGCTCCATCTGCTAGGGGGGAATTTTAGAGTCCAAGGGGGGGTCGGTCGGAAGAGGCCCGTGCGGGAGCTCCTACCACGAGCTCTCCGCCGCCACCATAGTCAGGCTCCGCCTCCGTACTGCCTGAGTAAGATAAGTATTTGATTCCCTACCAACCAACAAGAATTCTGGCTCCCGCAGACTGGCTAATCTGCTCATGCGATACACAAATTAGTCCTGTCAATTTAAGAAAGTTCTCCTAATGACAACTCATTATGTGTATGAAAGACACCTGTCCACAGAATCTCTTGGGTACCACCATGGGCAAGACCAAAGAGCTGTCAAAGCATATCAGGGACAAGACTGTAGACCTGCACAAGGCTGGAATGGGCTACAAGACCATCAGCAAGAAGCTTAGTGAGAAGGAGACAACTGTTGGAGTGATTATTCGCAAATGGAATAAATGCAAAATAACCCTCAATCGACCTTGGTCTGGAGCTCCATGCAAGATTTCATCTTATGGGGTAAGGATGATCATGAGAAAAGTGAGGGATCAGCCCAGAACTACAAGGGAGGAGCTTGTGAGTGATCTCAAGGCACTTGGGACCACAGTCACCAAACAAACCATTGATAACACAATACACTGCTATGGATTGAAATCTTGCAGCGCCCGCAAGGTCTCCCTCCTCAAGAAGGCACCTAAATAATTCAGAGAAGGATTAGGAGAAAGTGCTGTGGTCAGATGAGGCCAAAATTGAGCTCTTTGGCATTAACTTGACTCGCCGTGTTTGGAGGAAGAAAAAATACTGACTATGACCCTAAGAACACCATCCCTACAGTCAAGCACAGAGGTGGAAACTTTATGCTTTCTAGCTGTTTCTCTGTTAAAGGTACAGGCCGACTTTGCCGCATTGAGGGGCCAATGGACGGGGACATGTGTTGTAAAAAATCTTGGATGAGAACCTTCTTCCCTCAGCCAGAACACTGAAGATGGGTCGTGGATGGGTCTTCCAGCATGACAATGACCCAAAACATACTGCCAAGGCAACAAAGGAGTGGATCAAGAAGAAGCATATTAGGTCATAGAGTGGCCTAGCCAGTCTCCAGACCTGAATCCTATAGAAAATTTAAGCAGGGAGCTGAAACTTCAAGTTGCCAAGCGACAGCCAAGACACTTTAAGGATTTAGAGAAGATCTGTAAAAAAGAGTGGACCAAAATCCCTCCTGAGATGTGTGCAAAGCTGGTAACCAACTACAAGAAACCTCTTACATCTGTGCTTACCAACAAGGGTTTCTCCACCAAGTACTAAGTCATGTTTTGCTTGGGGATCAAATACTTATTTTACTTACTAAACTAGAACTCAATTTATAACATTTGTATCGCGTTTTTATCTGGATTTTCGGTTGATATTCTGCCTCTATCATTTAAAATACACCTATGATAAAAATTATAGACCCTTAATTTCTTAGTAAGTGGGCAAACTTACAAAATCTGCAAGGGATCAAATAATTATTTTCTCCACTGTATATGTCTGAAACTAATTCCACCAATAATATACAGTATAGTTTTATACACAATATTAAGTCAAAATGTAACATTGCTTCAAAATTCTCAAACCTCACTTTGAATAACATCCCTCCCTCACCCATCAGGAGAGAGAATTGGCCCTTGTTTTGTTCCCAAATTACTTACAAGTCTCAGTTTGAGACCTCTAAAGGTAGTAAAACTATCATATTAATTTCATGTCAATGTCTTAAAAATTATGCCTTTCATGGTGTTGAGCTACCATTTCCTCCATTCTCATCAAGTGGCACATCTCTACTTCAAGAAAATAAATATTTACACATATTTCTAGGTGATGAAGAAAATTGCTTAGAATTTTATCACAATTGTACAATACTGGAATATTGGAAAATCTGCTTATGCAGTATCTATTCTTTCAAAACCTGAAGGATCAGAACTATAAATCAAATCAATTGTAAAGCAACAGACCTGCTCCATCCCAGCAGAGGAGGAGAAGCTGCCACAAGCCCAATTATCCAAGTGAAGATACAACCAAGGATGGCATGGCTTTCTCTGAAGGTGAAGCTGCCCATGGGCTTACAGATGACCAGGAATCTTTCAAAAGCCACAACAGCCAGACACCACAAGCTGACCATTCCTAAAAGAGAAAGGAAATGCAGAGAAAAGAGGATAGCCTAAAGTTCACACACAAACAGCCTACACAAATAATAAGATGACTATTCTAAGAAAAGATTTACATTAAACATTCAAAAACATAATTTTAATTTTCAGTTGTATGCCCAATGCCAATAATTCAGGAATGCAAAGTACACGTTTGATCAATTCTTTGGCAGTCTCAACAAATGTTATAGGGCTTTTCAAATACAGCAAGAAGTGACAGGCCCATTCAAGTAGAAGAGACAGGAAAGTTGAGGACTTAAACTCTCTGATGAGTTTTTGAGGTAGTAGTTATTTGTTTACTTCTCAGCCAAAGAAATATGACAAGTCATGAGTAATCAGATGGCTTCAGAGAACGTTGCAAGCAAAATTCTGAGTAATAGAAGTTTGAGGGGAAACACCCCCTACAAAAAAAATTCTACTTACTAGATGTGCTGTGCACTTTTTAACTGATGCTGAAAGCTATGAACTATGTTATACTACTGCATTTTAGGGCACATTCACACCGGCACAGAGGGCCAAAAAAAGTGCAGTGCATTTCTGTACCTGGCTATTGCTTGCAGCAATTAATGACAGGCTTGATTTGTGCAGGCTAATGTCTGTGGCTGATTTCAGTTGTACAGCCCTCTAAAGGAGCCCTTAATGTAACTCCAGACTATCGGACAGTCTTACCATTTTTTCTATCAATGGGCTTAAGTACATTACCACTTGCCATCCCTAGGCCATATATATGAGGCCTCAGGATCAAGTGATCATTCCTGGATCATGGCTGCAGCTGCAGCCACGATCCTGGTATTAAATATTTCAGCTGGTGACCAATTTAAACAAAAAATAAGTGACTATACAGCTGCCTGGATCACTATTACAGCGCTCAGAAGGGGCCCCCTTCCATCACAGTGGGACAGGAAAGCCGGGGATCACTGTAAGAGGTCAGGTCAGCTGTGTGCAGAGGGGGAGAAACATCCATCCTTCCCCCTCCTCTGTGGCAAGCATCATGGACATAAAAAAACAACCATTTCATTCTCTAGGGCCTCTACTTTCAGACCATTTAATTCTCCAGGGGCTCTACTTTCAGAAAGTATATAACGTTTGGGAGTTCTAAGTAATTTTCTAGCAAAAAATGCTGATTTTAACTAAAATTGTCCTGGATGGCAAGTGGTTAATTCATTTAACTTGGCATTAGCCTCTAGCAGTCCCTGTACAGCAGAGCTCAGACTGGGGAAGGGAGAAGCAGCACAAAGCTGTTTCAGAACAAGAAGTGTGTTTACGGGAGGAGATGCTGCAGCACTGATTGGTATATTCTGACAGCAGAGGCATCCCCACTGTCAAAATACAATAAAACAGCGGTGAGGATTCCTCCATCCACCTCCCTTAAGTGGATGAGGGAATCTGTTTTTTTTTTTTTTTTTGATCAGCTGACTGCAAAACAAAAACATTCAATCTGTGGCCAGCTTAAAGCAGGCCATAGATAATTCATTTTTATTGTTCAACCAGCAGGTTGAATGAAAAAAAAAAAAAAAAAAGGACTCGATTCCCCCATTCAATGAATGTGTGAATGGGGGAATCCTTCCAGCTGAGCCTCTGTATTCTAAGAGTGAGAGGCTATAGCCGACAGCATTGATTGAATGTAGAAAGTTCAACAGGCTGGTTGTATATAAGTCAGTCCATAGATTGACTTCTGTACAACCTATCTGCCCATACAGGGACCGAAGTTCATCCAGTTCCTGCTGAACTGGCAAATTTTGATCCATGCGTGGCCCATTTTGGCAGATAAAACATGTCCGTTCAATGTATTTCATCTGTTTCTTTGACTTACTACATGTGTGTTTGTTGGTCTCTTTCAGTATCTTTCATACTACAAGCATAATTACAAACCTTTCCTATTTAATCAATTGTCTTTTTTGCATTTTACAAAAAAGGATGATAAAAATTAGTGTAGATTGTAAATACAAACAATATTCTATTAGACAATGAATGCATATACTTTTTTATGTTTGTGCAGTATTAATAACTAGAGAGAGCAAAAATTTGGAGATTTTTAAAAATGTCTCCATTTCTGGGAAATACAGTTTGTATTACAAGTCAGTATTACAGTTTCCAAGTCAGTATGGAAAGTTAAAGTTAGGTTTTGATGGTTTTCAACAGGCATAATCGATTTTAAATATGCAGATCCTTAAGGGTTACAGAAACTGCTGGACCTGTTCTTGTGTCAAAAAACAGTCTATCATTACCATTTTTCACAGAAAAAAACAAGGTTTGAAAAAAAAAAAACCAAGAATGAAATCAACAGTATACAAAAACAATCAAACAAACAAAAAGGAAAAAAATACAAATACAAAGAACATCAAAGTAAAGAAACTATACTATTCTAAATACAATACAATCAAGATAATGTCATGGGTACTGCTGCATTTCAAAGAGCTCCTTTCTTAAGGACAAATTGATTTTTAACATAAATCAGTAAATCTCAAACAAATAATGTACACAAGTAGATGTACGCAAGTGGATAATGATAAAAAAAATATACCTCCAAGGGTGGCTGTGAAACCTTCTATCTTGCATGCCAAAGTACCCAGTGCAAAATACATTTGAGAGAGAAGCTGTAGAAGGCAGTGGTGGAGCCAAAACAGATTACTACAAGGTTGGCAACAGCCAAGTTAACCAGGATGTAGTTAAGGTGGGAGCGCAGTTTCTTGTATTTGACAGTGCAGATGACGGTCAGAACGTTCAGGGGAAAGCCAAAAATTATAGTGAACAACATGAAGGCCGACATACTCATAAAAATGCCTGGGGTCCCCAGATGTGACTGGGGTACCAGGAATGGGCTAAGAGCAGTAATGTTAGTGGTTTCTAGAGGAATGGGGATGAAGAATTCATCTGGCATTTCCATCCTCGTATCTGGTCGACCTTTGCTCATTTTGGAAATTAGGAGTGTGATCTAGTGAGGTGTAGAAAAGGTGACTGCAAGCTCATGCAACTGGAACCCTCTGAGCTGCAACCGTCAATGGTCCACTGGTGCAGACAGAGGACCTTTCCCCTATAGTACAATGCATCTGACATAGAAAAGTGTCTTTTATACTCCAGAAAAGAAGAAAAGGTCTGGCATGGGCCCCAATTTTTAACCCCCTCATAATCTTATTGGACAGCAAAAAGCTGAGCTCAGTAATTTATCCAACTGCTATGATGGACTTGCTTGGGAAGGTGGCAAGGGATAATCTTCAAGACAATCTCCTGCAAAGCCACCTAATCACAGGCGGACAGCTTTAATCTAGTATTTTAAGATTCTTATCGTGCTCACTCACACATGTATATACCTATACAGTTCAGATGTGAACCACATAGGGCATAACATTTTATCAACAAAACATAAATCAGTTAAAATAAAAACAAATACAAAAAGCGAAAACTAAATTAATTAGTCTCATATGAAGTCATTATCTTTAAAATTATATATACTGTAAATTAAAAAATGCTTTCAGAAATAGAAGTGTTAATAGTTTATCTGTAAAAATGACCAAAATGGAAAGTAAATGAACAGAAGAGAAATCCAAATCAAACCAATATTTGGTGTGACCACCCTTTGCCTTCAAAACAGCATACATATTTCTAGGTACCCACAGTCCTTGTGCACACAGCTTTGGAAAGAACTTTGCAGGTAAGTTGTTCCAAACATCTTGGATAACTAATCACAGATCTGTGGATGTAGGCTGCCTCAAATCCTTCTGTTTCTTCATGTAATCTGAGAAAGACTCCATGATATTGAGATCAGGGCACGATGGAGGCCAAATCATCATGTCCAGGACTCCTTGTTCTTTACGCTGAAGATAGTTCTTAATAACATTGGCTGTATGTTTAGGGTCATTGTCCTACTGCGGAATAAATTTGAGTCCAAACCAGGGGCAGACTGACAACTCATGGGGCCCCCGGGCAATAGGGGATCATGGGGCCCCTGTGTCCTTGCCCAAACTCAAAAAAGCCTATGTAAAAGGTACCAGAGGCATCTCATGGGGCCACCTACTGACCCCGGGCCCTCGGGCAGTGCCCAAGTTTCCAAATGGTCAGTCCGCCCCTGGTCCAAATGGTCAGTCCGCCCCTGGTCCAAACATATACCTCCTTGATGGTATGGCATGATGGATAAGTATCTGCCTGCAGTTTTCAGCATTGCAATCACCAATGTTGAGTACTGTAGACGCAGTGATCTTCCAAGGAAACATAATGCAGCAGATGAAAGACACATCATGTTTACTTTCCCTCAAAATCGGAAGATGTCCAGCAGTGACAGAACTGCCAAAAACCAGTAGGATCCAGGTACACCCATCTACTGTCCAGAGAAGTCTGGCCAGAAGTGGTCGTCATGGAAGAATCACGGCTAAAAAGCCATCTCTCTGATGCGGAAACAAGGCTAAGTGATTCAACTATGCATGAAAACATAGGAACTGGGGTGAAAAATGGCAGCAGGTACTCTGGATTGATGAGACAAAATTTGAAATATTTGGCTGCAGCAGGAGGCAGTTTGTTCACTGAAGGGCTGGAGAGCGGCACAATAGTGACTGCAGGCAATAATGAAGCATGGCAGAGGTTCCTTGCAGGTTTGAGGCTGCATTTCTGCAAATGGAGTTGGGGATTTGGTCAGGATTAATGGTATCCTGAATGCTGAGAAATACAGCCAGATACTTATCCATCATGCCATGCCATCAGGGAGGTGTGTGATTGGCCCAAATGTATTCTGCAGAAGGACAATGACCCCCAAACATACAGCCATTAAGATCTATCTTAAGTGTAAAGAAGAACAAGGAATCCTGGAAGTGATGATTTGGCCCCCACAGAACCCTGATCTCACTATCATGGAGTCTGTCTGGGATCACATGAAGAGACAAAAGGATTTGAGGCAGCCGACAGCAACAGATCTGTGGTTTGTTCTCCAGGATGTTTCGAACAACCTACCTGCCGAGTTCCTTTAAAAATTGTGTGCACAAGCAGTGTGTGTATCTAGAAAAATTAATTCTGGTTTGAAGCTAAAGGGTGGTCACACCAAATATTTATTTGATTTGGATTTCTCTTCCGTTCACTCTCCATTTTGTTAATTGATAAAAATAAACTATTAACGCTTCTATTTTTGAAAGCACATTCTTCATTTACAGCATGTTTTCACAACTGCCAATAACTTTTGTACAGTAGTGTGTGTGTGTTTATGTTTTACACAATTAAAACAGGGAGCTGTCGCTAACTGCACCAAGCTGATACATTAAATATCGACAAATGAATAAAATACAGCAATCTATTATGATGATATAAAATAAAAGGCATTTTAGGCATGTTTCATAAATAAATGTTCCCAAGAAAAGAGCTATTTCACATGCATCAGTCTGTAATTTAATAATGTAAAATTAAACACCTACAAAAAATAAAGCGCTGTGAGTTGAATTTCATTTATTTTTCATTATCTAGCAGGGGTCTCCAAACTATGACACTCCAGGTGTTGAGGAACTTCAAGTCCCATGAGGCCTTGCAAGACTCTGACAGCCACTGGCAAGACTCCCAGAGGCAGAGGCATGATGGTACTTGTAGTGCTTCAACAGCTGGAGGAACATAGTTTGGAGACCCTGATCCTAGAGCACCCATTCTTTTTAAAGTAGGGGCTGGTGACAGCTTCACTGGTGCATTCTCCATAGGAATATATGAAAAATCGCACCCTTTAAACAAAGATGCAGGTGAAATTACACCGTAAAACTCATTTACTGCATGCTAATATGTTAATGTCCACAGCCCAGTAACAGTTGTACAATGATAATAACACAATGTCACAGATGAGTGTACATCAACTGTGTCAACAGTAAGTAACAAGGGTATCTGCTAAGGCAAGGGGGTTAAGAAGCAACTGCCATTCATTAGGATCCCTATATGATCCGATTTCATGGGTTCTGTGCTGTGTTTGGGTTTAGCAGATTTTTCCCAGGTATGCCAAAACTCTTGCAAACTGAACTTTGCCCAGTTCCTAAGTGAAAGGAAAAATACCAATGTCAAATGGGCCTCTTTAGAAACAAAAGGCAGTATCCCTTATAAAAATTGTGTGGAAGAAGGCATGATAGAGGAAAGATTTTCTCAAAAAACAAACAAAAAACAAATGGGTAAAGTGAAGACTGCAGGGAAGCTCTTCAAAGAAATAAAATCTGCCATTTCATCTACAGTATAACCACCAATACAGTAAAGCATTTAAATATTGAGAGATCAGCTATTATTATTATTATTATACAGGATTTATATAACGCCAACAAACTAAAAATCCCAGCGCCAATCAAAGAAAGTATACAATTATGCAGCTGTGCACCAGTGAAAACCACCAATAATGAATAACACAAAAAACAGCACAAAAATTAAATAAATAAAAATAATCACAAATAAATAAATGTCCGTGCAAAAAAAAAAAAAAAAAAAAAAATATATATATATATATATATATATAATATTTCAAACATAAGTCCTTATTTTCCCAAAAGGATTTTCAAGAGAACGCTTGAGAACGCCCTGTGGGTGGGGCAAAACGCGTTGACGCACTTCCGGTCTGCCGTCATCTTTGCCTACGTCACTTCCGGTATTTGGAACGCACGCCGACATTTGCGGTTCAAGCGGCCATTTTAGAGGTGGAAAGCTGGTCATCTTCTACAGTGATTCTTAAAGCGTGAGATCCCTATATTTACAATTTGGAAACTTGTTCCTTTGAAGCCTTTGAGGCTATTAAACAAGGGCTGTTATTTTATTGAAACATGTGAGTGTCCTTATTCTATCGATTTATATGGTATTGAGTGGCAGTATTACACTATGTAGCCTTTCTTTCCTTGCACATTATTGAGGATTCCATGGAGAAGTAGAGTGGAGTCGATTGCTGTATCTAAGCAGGGTGAAGAAGGTGATTTGAGTTCCTCCTGAGGGGCTATAGGATCCCTTATATCCTATGAGGCTTATTACTCACCTCCATCTGGTGAGTGCGGTCAATATTATTTTTCACGTGGTGATTAGGTGGAAGCACATTTTGGAACATTGTCTTGAAAATCCTTTTGGGAAAATAAGGACTTATGTTTGAAATATTATATATATATATATATATTTATTTGTGATTATTTTTATTTATTTAATTTTTGCGCTGTTTTTTGTGTTATTCATATAGCGCCAACAGTTTGCTCAGCGCTTTACAATATAAAAGGGAGACAATACAGCAACAATACAGTTCAATACAAGAGGGTTAGGAGGGTCCTGATCCTTGGAGCTTACAATCTAAGATGTGTATAAAGTCCATAAATATGCAGTATGTGGCCAAACAAAATGTTTGTAGCATGAGCTGTCCATGAAGAGATTGTTGGGAGTCTTGTTTGGTGCAAAGGTGTTACAGGCAGCTACAAAGTCTTTAATATAATTTTTTAATTGTTGAAGTTGCACTTTACAAGGTTTCCCTAGACCTTAGTAAATGGGATGAAGCTCTGCTGACTTCCATTATCCTATCACTTGCAAGGATTCTTTTTTTCCCCTTGCACGTGATTCGGTATTGTTTGCAAAGTAAAATTTCAACACATTTATTAAGATCTGGGTAAAATTCCCTTGAAAAGAGAACATCTTTGGAAAAGTCAAACCCCCGTGTACTCTGTAAGCAATTTGCTTCCATGTGCACTAGGTGGAAGCAAAGCCTCAAATATACAGATATTGTTACCATTTTATCATGAGAGGTAAAGGAAAGAAATACAGGGGGTAGAAGGGGGCAGCCATTGCCCACCGTCTTGTGAAAATGCTAGTTTCCTGATCAATGCGAGTCACCAAGCACAGGAGAATGTGCAGATCAGGAAAGTTAGGAAAAGTCAGAAGTCCTTTTCTGCACACAAGGTCAACAATACCCCTCTCAGTTTTACTCTCTGATCAAGTTTATGTTAAAGCTGAACTCCGGGTATCTTTCAAGCTTCATCTTGCTGTTGGGCCTTCTCACACTGATTAGGTTAAATGCTTGGTTTGTCCTAAAATAAGCAAAATACTGAATGTATCCCTTGCTCTCCTAGCAGCCTGCATTCTTCTCTGCTTGCCCATGTTCCCAAGGAGCAGGTTCAGGATACCGATGGTACAGAGAGAAGAAAGCCTGTGGTAGCAAAGATTAAGAAATGTTTCAACTTTTCCAATCTCCCCAGAATAAACAAGAGGGGGGGGGGGGGGACTGCATAGTGAATTTTTAGAGAGACCTAGAGATTAGTTTTAGGGTTCTTCACATGGTACTGATTTTTGTTTACGGATTTATACACCGCTCTAATTTTCATGCTTACAGTATGTGTATTATAAAAAATGGGCTGCATTTACATCAAAAGAAATTCCAAGAAAGACCATATGGCTGTTACTCTCCTCAGGAAGCAGACAGAGATTCCTGCAAAATATTGAAGAATCAGAGCCATCCTTGAAACGGACATCATATTTCACTAAGAGGTATTGCTCCTACACTTTCTTCATTGATGTAATGTATGTCAATAATAAATTGCATCACACTGTGGACTTTGCTACATTGTAACAAGATTATTCTTTTTTTGGAAGCATTTTAGTTGGACTCTAGTTTTTATCCTTGATATTTATAAAGTGTACTATGGGGGGTGATTCTCCCTGCTAACTTTTAAATATGTCTTTCAGTTTGTTACTCCTTGGGGCACCTTAAAAGTCCATATTGTCTCTCTTGGGATTTCTTATGATTTCTTTGGATGTTGTGCTCCCATTCCACCAAATCTACCGAGGACCTGTATTAGATGTATAAAAAAAATAAATGCCTAAACTTTTTACATTTTTTGCATCTGTGTGCAGATATAAGAGAGAAACATGTGCCTCCATTACTGACTGCATTCTGTAATTACTGTTAACCAGCTGTTATATTGACTAATATATACTGTGGTGGATTTACTAAAGGGAAATAGATTGTGCACTCTGCAAGTGCAGTTGCACTCATTTACCCAGAGCTTAGTAAAGTTGGTAAAGCTCTGCTGATTTCCATCATCCAATTATGCGCAAGCAAAAATGCTTTTTTAAATTTTTCTAGCACCTGATTGGGTATTCTTTATAAAGGGCAGCTTTACTACATTACATTTACTAAGGAAAATTAGTGCAAAAACTGCAAAGTGCACAGCCTATTTGCCTTTAGGAAAATCAAACCCACTGAGTCACTGACCTGGAGCAAACTTGAGACCAGGAAAGTTAGAGAAAAGTTCTTATCTGCACACTCATTTCAAGACAGTCATTCAAAGCAAGCACAACAAATAAGAAATTAGAATTTTCAGAAGGAAAGCTCAGAAATTGCAGTTTCCATCATGGCAGGTTTTCTTTAAAGGCCAGCTTTAAATTTGGATAGAGTAATGGACAGTTAATCCCTGTTGATTTTTTTTTTCCCCATATGTGTCCCATTGGGAAGATTTCTCTTCGCTTCCTGTCCCATAGCCGAAACAAGAAGTGAGAGGAAATCCTTCCAAAGTGAGGGTGTCCCGGTGTGCCCCCACTGGAATATTTCCCCTCTACTAATGTTCTTGGTAAAGTGCAAAATTTGGGGTTTTCTTTCACTTTGGTGATAACTAAAAATAGAAGAAAAAAATAGAATAAATAGAGAGGGGTAAGTAAGAAGAAAACTGAAAAAAAAAAAAAAAAAACCTGTCAGCAATCTGATCAGCAGAGGCACCTGTATGTATGTTTAGAAATAGGTCAAAGTCTTCTTTATTAACTGAAGTCAGAACATCCTGATGTTGTTATGAAATTTGTACCCACAGACATCAGTGTATCACCTTGAACTGAGGCAGCTTAACCACCTTCCGCCTTCCCTATAGTACAATGACGGGCGCAAGGTGGTTCTCTCGTTCTGATAGGACGTCATATGACGTCCTACCATTCTCACTGCGCATGCGCGGCTCAGGGAGCGCACAGCGCGGCTCAGGGAGCGTGCAGCACGGCTCAGGGAGCGTGCAGAAAAGAGCGGAAAGAGCCAAAGATGTCGGCTCGGTCATGTGATCAGCTGTGTCCAATCACAGCTGATCACACGTAAACGCCGGTTATCGGCATTTCTCTCCTCTCGAGCTGTCACGCTGAGAGCCGGTAATCGTGTTTCCATGGAGGGGACATGATCAGTGTGCCCTGATGATCAGTGTGGCCCCAGAAGTGCCACCTGTCAGTGCTCATCAGTGCCAGTGCCCATCAGTGCCAATCAGAGCCACATCAATGCCATATATCAGTGCATACCAGTGCACATCAATGCCACGTATCATTGCCCATCTGAGCTGCCTTTCAATGTCACCCATCAGTGCCACCTATCAGTGCTGCCAATCAGTGCCGCCTATCAGTGCCAGTCAGTGCCGCCTATCAGTGCCATGTATCAGTGTTATGTATCAGTGCTGCCTTTCAGTGCCCATCAGTGATGCCTGTCAGTGCCCATCAGTGCAACCTACCAGTGCCTCCTCATCAGTGCCCATCAGTGCCACCTATCAGTGTCCATCAGTGCAGCCTATCATTGCCCATCACTGCAGCCTCATTAGCGCACATCAGTGAAGGAGAAAAATCACTTATTTACAAAATTGTATAACAAAAACTAAGAAAAAAACTTTTTTTTTCAAAATTTTCAGTAGTTTTTGGTTTAAGAAAAAATAAAAATCCCAGAGGTGATTAAACACCACCAAAAGAAAGCTCTGTCTCAAAAAACGATAAAAATTTTATATGGGTACAATGTTGCATGACCGCGCAATTGTCAGTCAAAGTGTGACAGCGCTGAAAGCTGGAAATTGGCCTGGGCAGGAAGGGGGTATAAGTGCCCTGTAGGCTAGTGGTTAAAGCCAAGAAATGCATTTTTTCCTGGTTCCTTGAGCTATGGATGATGGTACTTGCATAGTTCCAGGGCCATTTCCACTTTGCAAAGTCAGCAGCATGACAGCAATAAGCTTTCTTAGCTGTCTGAAAAGGTAGCATTCTGACCACTAATATAAGGGGTGCATTCTTCCCACTGACCTCTGATATAAGGGTCAATTTTCCCAGCAACACCGGATGAATTGATTTTAGAAGGGGTTCTCTGAGGCCTGAAAATTGGTTTATCTGGGGTAAGAAGGTTGATAAAAACTTCTTTAAAACATGCCGCACTTTCCAAAATCTCTCAGGAATTCTATTAGTGAGATCTTAGTTCCTAAAGGCCTACTCTCCACCACTGGAGAAGTTTCCCAACACCTCCTGTCCCACAGAAGCAACAGGAAATTAGACCAAATCTCCCAAAGTGAGCTGAATCCCCCCTCTTAGACAGTAGTTCCTGGAATAGGTATCCACATTGGAAAATATTCCCTTTCCTTTTGTTCTGATGACAACTCTAAAATTATACATTTCCCCTCATTTTCTGTTTCAATGGTCACCAGCAGAGAGTGGTAAATCTTTCCAATGGGGACTCTGATAGCAATGAAATCCTAACAGATTGTCTACCTCTTCCCAACGCCATCCAGAACTAAACAAAGCATTTTCCAAGAGATACACTTTAATGTTAGGATTATAACTAGAAACTTTATTTGAGTAAAATATTTTTAATTCTTATTCTTGATTAGTTTGTATCTTTAAAAGAGACTCCAGAATTTTTAAACATTGGCAACTGATTTGAAAAAAAAAAAGATCTTTTGAAATAATGAATATATCACAGTAACAGTTTTACATACTTTCCTTGCCATAGAAAAGCAGCTTCCAGCACCTTATAACCTGTGTCTATCGCTTCTACTATATCATGCTGACTGGCACTGGAACAAATTCTGGAGCAAAGCCCGGAATGCATCCACTGCATTATAGAAATTTAATTTTTTTTTTCTGGTATAGATTTATTTAGAAACTTTAAGGAATTTGGCTTTATGCTTCATATGCACCTTAGTTTTCTTGTTGTTTTTCTAACATTTTTATTAACTTTTCATGTATATGGGAGAAGAGAACTGGATAGTTACAATCAGCTGAGGTGTGACAAACGAGCCTGTTGAGATCACATTGTGCACAGTCACAGTAAATGAATACTCATGCCTTGGTCCTTATTATTAACAGGTAGGAAGGTTCCTAAAATATAAAGCAGATTATGGGTGCTTGACAGTTACAGCAAATTGTTTCTAAATGCCTAAAGCCAAAATCAAAGCTTACCCCCCTGCCAGCTGACACCCCTTTAACTGGAGCTTAGCTGACCCCTTTCCCCCCTGGATCCCCCTCCCACTCTGCCACTGTATATATGACTTAATGTGTAATCTTTTTAACCGTTTTCCCGCTGCCCTATAGCAGATATACTGCTACAGGTGGCAGGGGTGCGCAGAATCACGTATATATACGTGATTTTGTATTTCTGGGTAGGAGGCGCGCGCACACCCTCAGGTAATCTGACACTAACTCACACTGGAGGGAACTGACTAACTGACACTGACATCATTACTGATACTAGTAGAGTAATCAGTGCTAATAATATACACTGACATTGCACTAATGACACTGGCTGAGAAGGGGTTAACATTTGGGGCAATCAAAGTGTGTGCCTAGGAATGTGTAAAGTGTTTACTGTGTGTTGCTTTTATGAAAGGATGTGCCTGTTTTATTCCCTAAAAAAAACTGGCACATCGCCTCTGTCAGTAGAGAGCTCTGTGTTGTTTACCTACACAGAACCCTCTTCTGTCACTCACTCCACCGATCAGTGGATCCTGGCCATAAATCATTGGCCGGCATGTGCTGGAGCCAGTGACAGCACAAAGAGGTGGGCGGCCCATGAAATCGCTCCCCCTACCCGGAAATGCATACATATGTATGTGATTCTGTGCAGCTGGCCCACACTGTAGCAGTAAAAATACAGTGCGTGGTCGGCAAGTGGATATAGCCTTTCTTTTCAAGTAGCAGTTTCTTCCAGGGAGATTGTTTTGTTTTGTTTTTTTCAATTCTTTTTTTAAAAGGAATACAAAATACAATGTGGCTAATAAATAACCACAAAGTCTGAGGAAAAGCTTGCAGAATATGTGGAATGTTGATAGAAAAAAAAAATACAAAACATACATTAATATCCACACAATGGCATCTGATAGACCAGAGTTACAAGGATGCCCCAAAGATGCTGCAAGCAGTTTTTACACCACACCGTAAGCACAACGCCTCAGTGTGAAAACATACATAGACTTTCCTTTCACATACACAGGGAAGCATTTTTTTTTAGCTGTTCAGGTGCTTTTTTTAACGCAAAAAACGCTTCAAAAACTCCTCAGTGTGAAAGTAGCCTTACAAGGAAAGCTTTACATACTATGTTACATAAAACACTTATAAAAGATTTGTTTTGTAGCAATTCAACTTTTAGTGCAGAACAAAACAACGAATCATGTATTGACAGAAAAGGATACATTGTGCTCTTTTGATCTTTTCAATGTCAAAACAGTTTGATAAATGAAAAAAGAAAGAACAAGTTTCATAATACCACATTTCCACGAAGGCCTGCTGCACATCTGAAGCTTACTGTGGAACCGATTTACAAGCTATATTTGCACGGTAACGCTTGCCTTCAGTGTCATTCATTCATGGCCGTTAGTTCTCAGTAGATGAAGAATTATTCATTGTGATGGTCCAAAGACTACTTGGCACCTAAATACATTTTATTGAATAAAAGACAATTGTCACCAAACCAGAGCATGCAACTGTTCACTGAACTATACTTAATAAAGTAATACTAGAACAAGTACATGTTTCTGCCAGGTCTGTCAGTGTCTGCATTTAAAGTATAACTAAAGGCAAATCTTTTGGACAAAGTGGAGAGAGATTAGAACATCTGTCAGGTTTTTATTGCTGTCTGTGCCCCCAAGAGGGAGATTCTCCCTTCCTATTTGGCTTGATTACCTTGTCACCGAAAGTGAAAGGGAAAGAAAATCCCAAATTTTGGGTTTTCACCAGAACAGGAATACAGGAGAAATCTTCCAATGGGGACACTAGTTCTGGAGACCCTGATGACAGCAAGGGATTCCCTCTCACTTCCTGTTTTGGCTATGGGACATGAAATATACTTTGTTGATCCTGCCTTCAGTTGTCTCTCCTATCTTTTCTGTGCACCCACTGCAGCCTGAGATTTTGTAGATCAGTCATTGTCATCTACTGAGCATGCTCCAATTTCAGTTCCCTTCTAAGCTCTTCATTTCCCCCTTTTTCTTATCAGTGCAGCCCACACGACTATAGGGTCACATGTGGGCATATACGCAGTGGTACATGACACTCTCCTCCCTCCCTCCTTCATGTACTCCTATTACTAAACACTATAGGGGTGGGATATAGTACCTTGATTGATTACATTCACTATGAAACTCACAGAAAGCCTAGTTTTAATATAAATCAATATTATATATATCAAATGTGATTGACAATACCTGTAAAGTAAAAAAGTGCCTTGGATGCAAATGGCATCTGAACAAAATGAAAGCTGGTGTCCTTCACCTTTGACTCCGCCTACATCAAATTAATGCACAAAAAATACACATTTGATGTTCAATAAAGATAGGGAGGTGTAAATCAGTTTTTATTTAATTTAATTTGAATTACTCTTCTGAAACAGTTTTTTTTAATGATGTGACCAGTACAGGGCCAATCAGGGCTGTGTAGATACAGACCCATACTGTAAAGAGCATACATCAGCAGAGTAATAGAAGCCTATCCCAAATATCTTTCTCCGCAGATCCCAAAGAACAGGGAAAGATCAGGTGACCACACAACAGCGCTGCAGCAATAAGGTACTCAGAGGATTAAAAACAAAACAATACAGTGCCATATGTGATTTTATGTAAATGAATTATGGCAATTAAAACTTCTTTGTTTAATAGAAACATCTATAAGGCTTCTTGCACGCAGTACTGATGTTTGGGCATCAGCAATTCTGGACGAAATTTCAGGTGTTTGTTTTGCGCGTATTTGCACATATTTATGTGTATGCACATGTATTTGTTTGTATGTGCATTCACGCTTACAATACATTTTTAGGCAAAATCCATTCATTTTTATTAATTAATGCGCATTTGTGTGTACCGGCACAGACTACTGACTAGGAATGCAAGTTTTTCTATTTTTTTTCTCTCACTCAAGAATAGGCAGTGCTTGTTTACGTGCCTGTGTGTACAGGCACAATGTAAACAATGGGCTGCATCTTAGATCAGTAGAAAAACAAACTTTGGGCTTTTTCAAGCTTCAGTGTGCAAGAGGTCTAAATAATAACATCAGTTATAATAATAATTATAATAGGATTTAAGAGGATTCAAGTGTATCTAAACCCAATAACAATAATGTAATATATTTAAGCTCACCAGTCTTTAGATGTAATGGCTGCATTAGGTTTCTTTTTAAGGATTTTTCCCCCTTATCTTTAC